GATGGGCCTCAGAGGTTGCCATGCTGAGTTCAGTTGAAATGTACCTCTCAAACTCAGTTAACTTTTCTGGAGTACTTCAAACCTGTGTGGAAATGTAAAATCATAGTGCAAAGATTAATTGTGCAAAACATCAAGTAAATCAGACTGGTGAGTCAGAGTAATACAGATTTGTTAGTATGCTACTTTGCTGTAGTGCCACCTAAAGAGGAAACCCCATTTCATTTTGTTTGATTGTTCAGAGTTGACGTGTGAACTTTATCTCCATTATTGATCTTTACAGTGGATTCAAGAGTTAGGGACTGAGTGTGGATCAGTGTGGAATATCATGAAGCACTGAAGAGGCTCAAATGTTTTTAAGATTCTGTAAAATAATCAAACTCACAAAGCTATATTACAAAAGAGTTGTGTTAACTGTTGTTGATTTCATTGTTCATTTTTCTAGAAATGAGTGTTACCACAAACTACAGAAAGCTCAGGGAACCAGTGGTGGCTTCATACTGTAATTACCCAAGTTAGGGCTTGTGAATCTGAAAATGAAATTAGAATTTCATTTTTCAACGTCATGCTATGGTTAAAATTGGTTGATCACCCAGCTCTATGTGTGGGAGAAAGTGTCTTTGGGCCTGTGGGCGTCACATGATCCTGCAGATCCACCTCACAGCTCTGCACCTTTTGTGAGCTTTTAAACCTGCTCTCAGTCTCTGTAGTGGTTCACAACATCTTTACTCTTGTGCCAAGAATGTGTCACAATTTAGGTGTCACCGGAGCAATAAAGCTAACATTTCATAAAATAAGACTGACATTGGTTAAGTAGGCTGCCAGATAAATTGCTAAATAATAAAAACAACTCGTTCTCTTTGGACTTAATCAGCACAAGATGAAAACAATCACCACTTACAGTCATGGAAGTTACTAAATTTATTCATGTCACATGTCTCTTAGTCTAAACGTCATGTAAATATTTTCCATTTGCACAGACTCTGAATGAATTCTTCTTTTTGATACAAACTGTTCCTCGGTGTCTCTGTTTTATAGGTGAGGGATTTCACAACTACCACCACACGTTCCCCTATGACTATGCAACCAGCGAGTTTGGCTGCAAGTTGAACCTTACCACTTGTTTCATCGACTTCATGTGTTTCGTGGGCCTGGCCAAGGACCGCAAGAGAGTGTCCCACGAGGTGGTCATGGCCCGAATACAGCGCACTGGAGATGGAAGCCACCGGAGTGGCTAAGATTGTTGAGTTGTGGTCGCAGCTTCAAGGCAAAACGACCGAAAAGAAGAAGCTTCACAGTCTTTGACAGCTATACATTTCTCATCCTGTGTGGATGAAAGTCAGCTTCATGAGGGCCTTGACCACATTTTGCTTGTTTTTGTGGTTTTTGTAGCTGTAACTAAACAAATTGTTCAAGATGGATTAAAAAAAAAAAAAAAAAACATTTTTGCTAAGCTCTTGGCCTCAGTTTCTATTGTTCAGTCAGGCCAAGGTCTTGCAAAGATGTTTTAGATTTGAAGTAGATACATTTTAAAAAGTCAACTTCATTCTCCGCTGTTTTTTGCCACTTTGGTGTGCATCTCTTCATGCAAGATCAGTCATGTAGCCGATCATTTTTCTGTAAGTATAACTCAATTATTAATCAAAGTAGACAAGAAGTGGAGCACTGAAATATGGCGTAACAATGTCGTAACTGATAAGGTATGACGCTGATTGGAGACTGTTGCCTTTTATTGCAGTTTACAGCAAGTTTTTACTGTTCTGATATGAAATAAGTTTTGGAGCGCTCTGAGATCTGTTTAAAAAAAAAGGCAAAAAAAAAAAGGGAAGAGAGTTTGAATCACATTTGTTTTGTTAAAAAAAAAAGTGAAAGTTGCTGGCTTTAATATAACATGGCACATGGCAGCAGAACAAGGGAACCCAGACCGTCTTCTTATACCTAGACAACCAGTACGCCAAAAACTGTACAGAACCCAGGTCATGCATTGTTTCTATGTATAACTTGGTTGAAAGACAAGGACTAATACTGTATTTAGTCTGTGTTATAATTGGAAGGAGCTTTTTCAAGACAATATAAGGGACATATTATATTTATCATTAAATTAAGACTGCCATTTGATATGAACAGCTAAATGTTACTTTACCTTAGAACCATGCAATGTTAAATTTAGTTTTTTTGTGTTTCTGATGAATATCACAGTGCCAACAGTGTGCCAATCGTCGCCATGTTTATAATCATCTCTGTGGTCCACTAGAGCACACTTAAGTCGATATTGCTTCTTCACTTAACATCGTCATGGAAGTTTTTAAATATTGTGGCATCAGTGGCTTTTGCTTCCCCTTGAGATTTTTTATCCAACATGTCCCTCTTTTGTCCTGAAACATCTGCAGCAGCGACCCCATTGGTCAGACGTAGCAGCAGCAGCAGCAGCAGTCGGTCATGTGACAGTTCTGGTGTTACAAAACAACATGCCACCCATGCATGACGATATACTGTAGTAGGTGTTGTAGTGAGGTGTATTTTCTTTGTCGGTGACTCTAATGGCAGAACCGCGTCTATTTTTGTAACGTACTGTGGAGCTGCATTGCTTTTGGATCATCAGAACTGTTGCCGTGGTGATTTCTGAGACGGGGTCTGGTTTTCCTTTTTGATGTCCTACAAAAGCTGATTGTTGTTGCAAGAATTTCAGGTGCAGCGATGTTTATGTTCATCTTCAATTCTGGTGTGCGGAATGCTTACATGACCTTATTTATGTATTTATTTCTCTTTTTTTTTCTTATTGACTAAAATTATATATGTATTGCTCTAACCTGAACAAGTTTCTGCATTCCAAGATTTGGCCGTGTGACCATCTGGTAAAATATATCAAATTGGAGCACCTGTTTATGTTTTCCCAAGAATCAGGATACAACCTAATGCCTTATGACTTGCATCCATTCCTGATCTTCTTCATGTCCTGTCAGTTAAGACAAAAAAGGCTCAAGCACCACAAAACAAATCTGACCGGTCCATGTTTACAGGCTGAAGCACCAGGTCAAACACTGTTTTTATTTTTCAGACACATGAGAATTTAATTTAGGCAAATGGTATCGTGTGACAACATGGAGATAGTATAAGATATATATATAACTAAAGCATAGAAGTTCATTTTCATAGATTTCTGATACAGACTGAACGCCTGGTGCAGACGTATAATCACCAAATTTAACTTAAAAACAAGGGCCCTGATGGATGTGCCAACGAGTTTCAACCCATCACAGCAGCTCAGTGTGAAAACTTCCAAACAAAGGTGCTGTCATGAAGAATGTTAGAGCATCATCAGAGCACCAAACCACCAAAACCGACAATTATCATTATTGATATCACAAGTCATGCAAATGCTTCCCGCTGTTCAGAGCGTAGAAATCCGACATTTTCCTAACGACAATGAGGATCTAAAGGTTGTCAGTCTGAAAGATTATGTCAACTCTCAACTGTGTTCTATTCTGAAATAAAATTCACAATATTTTCAATACACTGGTAATTCAATTAACAGTTGTCACTCTTCTTTTTTTTTTAATTCACTGTGTCTTCACATCTGTACATCACAACACTGTTAGATCGTAAGAGCTCAACACTTCAGCCCTGGATTTTTGGTTTAGTTTTGAACAGTAATCTGGTACAAATTCAAGGTAATTTCTGCTGTTTGACAAGTTCTTAATTTAAGTCTTTTGACATTAGATGTAGAGGCTCAGTTTTAAACAGCTGATCCTGTTATAATATTCCAATAGTGGATGTAGGACTATAACTTTCTGCACAATGGATACATGTAGTACTTAAGTTTTTTGATATAGACATGGTGGGAAATGCACAATTTCCACAAATAAGACCAGAATTACAGGAAATAGTGATAGGAATAGTACAGCAGGAAGACATTTTTACAACATGGTACTTTGCTAAAGTAAATGACCTGAATACATCCACCACATCCCCACTGTTTCCTGTGTGGGGATGTGGAGATGACAGTCTTGAGGACTTATCTGGTGAAAATCCCCCCTGGAGGATTGTCTGGGGATTTTCTGTTCCCAGTTGAACATTTGCCTTGTGTGGTAAAGACCTGAGCACGTCCAGTTTGCTGCTGTCAAACATGTGGAAGTCAAATATATCCCTTCTGTTTAACGCTGCTGTTCTTAGCTCTTCCCTGCAGATGAGTGAAACTCTTTCAGAGGGTTTACACAAGGCAGAGAGGAATGTCAGACCAGCGTGCTGACCACAAGCCAGTTTATATTACGTCTGACTCTCAGGTCGAGGAGTACATGGCATGTGGAGGTTATGATGACTGTGATAGCGCCCTTGTTTCAGGGGCAGGTTTTAGACATTAATCAAACCAAAAATAGATAATTCCCAACTTCTCTTGTGAGCTCTTTGTGAGAGTTATTTCACTGTCAACAGAACATCTTTCTTTGGCCTGTTATGTTGGGCACAGGAGGCCAAATGGACGGTACAAGTCTGCAGAGTGCAATTTTCACCATTTTATTCACCAAAGATTCAACTAAATATCTTCATCAATAAAAAAAGTAATTGTTAATTGCAGCCAGAGGAACTGGAGATTTTCTAAGAACAAAGTGTGGTGATGTATTGGCTATATCAGAGGTTCCCAAACCTCCATACTTTCTTTATTTATACAATAACAGTACCGTGTGCAACAGTCAGGACTTTTTCTGGTAAATAAGCAGACACCACCAAACCTATGCTTGTATATTATGTATTAGAAAGTGCAATGTAAGATAATAGTATGGTGGAGTGGGTAATGGCAGTCACTTTGGATTGGGAGGATGGGGGTCTGAGGCCAAATCTGTTGCCTAAGTGGACAAGACCTATAGAAGAAGAGCTTGTTTTCTTATAATGAAGATGTGAAAAGTATTTGCTGTATTCACAACAAAATGTGTTTTCTGACATTATTAGTAGATCAGGAAATGTAATGTAAGATAATAGTATGATAGTCCTGAGGGCTCAACACATCCTGCTGGATAAGTCAGTGGGAAAAAGCACTGACTCTGGATTGGGAGGCTGGGGTTCAAAACCCAGTCTGGCCTGGTATGTTGGCTAGTAGTATGTGAGTTAGAACCTCCCTGAACACTGTCATTAATGAGCTGTCAACCTGTTTTTGTGCATTGGTGTGTGAGTAGTGTGACACTGAAAGTAAAGCGATAAACACCACAAACATCCTTAGATGTTCCTAATATTCTGATTCAAGACACCTGTGTGTGTGCATGGTTGTGTTGCACACACACTTCATGTGTGGGCTCTGAAATATCAGTGAACTAGTTGATAGACTGCAGAGTTATCAGAGAAGTCCCTGATTAATGAATTGGTCTCAGCTGTGGCTCTGGCCTGAGGCTCAGAGGTTGCCACGGCAATTTGAGGAGTTGCCACGACAATAGACGGACCCCTGGCAGAGGCAGGGGGTAAACTCAGAGAAAGAGGCAGATTTTCCGCCTCAGCGCTGGTCTCACATTTGTGCTTATATGGCGTTGTGTCAAAACGGTGGATCCACCCCGTGGCACTAATAATAATATCTATTTCAATCACATTTTCCCCATCGTCCATCCAATTTGGTTGATTTTATGTTGTAATGTAGCCTGTCTTGTAAGATGATAATACATTTTCATTTAAAAATCTAAGCAGCTAATGACAAGAGCAGACAGAAAATATGATGATCCACTTCCAAGTTCTGAATGTCAGCCCCACACTATATATATATATATATATATATATATATATATGGTCAGCCCTGTTCAACCAAACCCTTAATTAAGTCATTCCTGTCGTTTGAGTGCAGCCTCTGCTGCCACTCCTCCTGTCTGTTCATCTTTCCTGCCGGCATGATCACCTGACCTGCTGCTCCTCCTCCTCCTCTCTCACCTGCTCACCTGTCCCACATTCCCTCGTTAGCTCTTTAGTTTCCGTCCTCTCTCTGCCAGACTTCTCTTTGCACCATGTGTCGTCTCTGCTTTACTTTTCCATCTGTCTCACTTTGTCACTAGAACAAGTTGTGCGTTAAAATTTGAACTTAACAAGAATTAGCATCAAAACTTACATCAAATACCACAATAAAAGCACTCACCATGCAGAGTGAACCATAATATTTGATCACATTTTATTTTATTTGGTTAGTTTTAATACTGTACATGTATTGTGTACTTACTTTACATTTCCATGGGTGAAGTAAAAAAAAAAAAAAAATGGGCTTAATAATTCTGTAGTCACAACCAATAGTTACTTTCATGCTCATTACAAAGAAAAAAAATTTCACTTTTCAAAACAAAAACACAAAATTACAAGAACAACAATATACTTTAAAAAAAAAAACTTTGCAGGAGTGGCAGCTGCTGGTTAAATAACCACCAACAGCTGATAAAGGCATGAACTACTTTTAGTTTATTTTATTACATTTGTCATTAATGATCTGCAAAATCTGGCAAAGTAGGTAAAGCTAAACTGCCTTGAAGGCAGCAGCAGTAAATGTTTACAGGTCATAGCTGAGTGTCTCTTGGCAGGATCCTAACTGTACATGCAGGTACTGAGTTACAGTCGGGACATTGCAGCTTTATGAAACAATGAGCCGACTCAGTTCCGTATACAGCGTGACTCAGGAGGCTGCTGTGGTGTGATGACTGCTGAAGTTGAATTATACCACCATCACCCCAGGCTGACATGACATTAGGGTTACTACAGTTCAAAATCCCCCAAAAACATTCACGCCACGCAGCTCACAGCGTCTGACTCCAGCCGACCAATCAGCGGCCAGGATCTGACTTATGATCCTCCTGGACCAATAGGGTGAAAGGCGCGTGAACCACCTGTGCCAGCTTGCAAACTTTTACTATTTCCCAGTCTCTGGAAATTGAAAGTGAATCAAGGCAGTGAGTCAAGAATAGTCTCTGAGTTCACGAGCAGGGAAATAAGTTGGAAATGCACGTTAATATGTGCTGCGTTCATGTGCTTTTGGTGAAAATGGTGGTAAAGTAGCAGCAGTTAAAGTGGCTTATGTATGTGTAGAAAACTATATGACAAATGCTGGGTGTGGTGTTTTGTGTGTCCAGCACCCACAGAGACGATAAGACAAAAGCTGTACATTTCCTCTAGTCAGTAAAAAAGTGCATTTAAAGGGCGCCATCTACTGTTCAAAGTAGGAGGAGGAACATCTACCTGGCAGAGATAAGTGTGTGTTTTTGCCACTGTTATATTACTGAGAGCTCCCCCTGGAAAGAACCAGTTCTGCTCAAATACAAATCTTTAGTATATATTCAACCTCTGCTTGATTTTTTGTTTGTGTGTAAAATGCAAGTAATTACAGCTTTCGAATTTAAGTATATACATGTATAGAGATATCATATTGGAGACACAAAAGTTATTGCATGTCATTGCAAGTCACATATCAATACATCTTTACACTTCCTAGAGTAGCTACATGAATGGGAAAAAAAAGCATAAAATAAATGTAATCTTTATTAGTGGCATTGGTGTTCCTAGAGGACACAGAATTTTGCAAAGCTAAAAATAAATAATGACACATAAAAATATGCATCAAAATGTGATCAAAAGTAAATCAATATGTGAAGAAAGCAACTGAAACTCGTGCCCATCGAAGAGGAATTTTATTTGAAAAAGATACCGAAATGAGTAAAGTAAGCAACATGGATTGTATAAATATCTGTGCAACCAAAATGAGCACACTGAGGCACTTTACTGCCTTCTGCTGCCATGATACACCAAACTATCCAGCTTTTGTTTATGTCCAGCTACAAACCTCAGAATATCATGTGTGTTTGTTTTGTTTTCATTTACAGTTCATTTAGTTTGTATGATCTAATCTAAGACATTCAGAGTTACAAAAAAGTTAAGATGTAGAGTGGGTAGAGGGAAGAGTAGGAGCATCTTCAACAGAGAGGGAGCGGCGGCAACGGTGTTAATTCATTTTCAGTTCCGACATAAATTAATGTAACGTCTTTCTCTGAGCTGCCATGTGAACTCAGCAGTCAGTGAAGGGGTTAACCTGGGAAACATGCACACTCCACAAGTCTTAGGGTGAAAGGAAAAAAAAAAAATCATTATCATTTACATTCAGTCATTCACACAAGCTATTAAGTACCAGTGCTATTAGTTAGGGCTTCGATTAACATAGAATGAGAGAGAGAGAAAAAAACAACCAGTTAATTGACAATCACTGTGTGACATCTTTCTGCAGTGCTTTGGCCCAAAACCCCTCATGGCACAATGAACTGGACAGGGTCAGGTGAAGAGAACAATCAGTACTTATGATACAGTGTTTTTATAAATGCTTCTTGATGCTTGTTATGCAATGATACTCGTTCTGTAAAAACAATATGAGTGTCAGTCTGTTTTCCCCTCAACTGTCAGTTGGAAAATAAGTGCAACTCTTTTATTCACCCCTCCACCTCAGATTAATCCGTTTGTAGTCCCAGATGTTTTGTCCTGCAGCCGTAGCTCTGCATGCGTTCGATTGCAAACCTGTTGACTACAGCAGAAGTGAGAGGGGTAATGTGCACTGGTGCAGACAGTAATGTGGACTATGAAAAATGCGCCTACTTGTATAAACACCGCCTGGATTTGACTTTTGCACCACTTGCTTTGTTATATTACATCAACTGTTGAATTTACACAGAATCACAACTTCCATAATACATTCATCTTATTTGTAAAATTACCACAGCAACATTAACAAATCTCTACAAAAAAGAAAATCCACCTCACTGCCCACGTCAGCCGAATTCCTCTGGGAAAGAAAACATGTATGGAGTGATGAAGATCACAATCTGCGATATCATCAGTAATTGTTCTCATTATCAAAGCACATCATCAGGTCAAAAAGAAATAAATACATATATAACAATATGATAACACTTAAGTCTGATTGGTGGAGGGGGGGGGGGTTAGACACCCAGCTTGTTGGCAATGGTCATGACCACTTTGAGGATGGGCATGAAGGCGGAGATCTCGCTGAAGTTGCTGCTGCTGACCACCTGGGTGTGGACCTCCAGGCCACGCTGGTAGTTCTGGCTCGCCACGCAGCGGCTGATCTCGTGGAGTCCGTTCAGGATGTTGTGAGAGAGCTGAGAGATTAAATCATAATGTTAGCAAGTGGCAGCTGTTTAGAGCTATCTCTCTTTCTTCCACCCAGAACACACAGAGCTCAGGAGAATTACTTTTATAATACAGAAAATGTTTTTTCAACTTTTTAGGATTTGTGTAAATCAAGCCTATTAGGTTGAAAGCATCACTGCACGTGGGCACTAAGCAGAAGAGATTCTTTGGAGTCGTACACCATAATTTCATTCAATTATAGAGGACAAATCAAGACTCAATAAGAAAGAGTGGGACACTTTCTTGCACCACGACAGCCTGGCTTGAATGAAATCATTCCTTACCGACTGCTCCCTCAGTTTGTCATACAGGTAGCCCAAACGTTTGGCTGCATCATCAAGTTTCCGTTTTGTTTGCTGAAAATAAAATAAATTAGGCCTTTTAATACGTCATTAAACTTTTTTTTCTTTAAAATCAACATAAGACAGGCAGTGAGACTTACAGGGTCTCCTGCTGCTAGCTGGCAGCGCTGCACCAGGCTGTCAAAGGTGGATTTGAGGACCATGTGTTCAGCGGGGATTTCCTTCTGCTCCACCCTCTCTGCTGGCAGCTGCTGGAGGAGCTGAGCAAAACAAGGACACATATACGAGGTGGTGACATGTTTGCCGTGTGAGTTGCTGCTGAGAATTCACGTAATGGTTCCTTGTCGCACACAAACCTGCACGCTGGGCTCCTGCGGGGCTCCAGGGGGGACTTGGGCATGGTCGTGAGGCTGAGGAGCCTCCACTGGGAATCCCATGACAGGAGCTGTGATGGGGGCTGGTGGAGTGTAGTTATCAGGGACCTGTGTACAGACAACAGCAAGACACAATCAGTCCATGAGAGAGAGGTTATAATAAACTGAGACATATTAATAAAGTCCCACCAGACTATTTTTTGGGCCGGTCACTTATTAGGAGGAGCTTCACACGTCACTCGTACTTTTAGC